GGAAAGTAATGAAAAACCTTTCGCATAGGGGCAGAATGGACTAAACTGAGAAGAAAAGTCCTCTACTATTTTACAATTTTCGCAATAGTTAACAAGATATTAATTATTAAAAATTGTCGAAAATTAGTCCTCAATAATTTTTTTACTCAAAAACTTTACAGAAAAACTGAAAGGGACAAAAATTGTTTATTTTCTTCTCATAAAGCTCTAAGAATTTTTTCAAAATTTTTTATCAACTTTTTCGTTTCTGCATTTTCTTATTTTTACCACCATGAGAAAATACGGTACTAAAAAATTTTGAAAAAATTCAGAAAAAATTCTCAAAACCTTATGAAAAGAAAATAAACAATTTTTGTCTGTTACAGTTTTTCTATAAAGTTAATAGTATTTGAGTAAAACATTATTGAAGACCAATTTTCGACCATTTTTAATAATTAATATTTTGTTAACTATTGCGAAAATTGTAAAATGGTAGAGGACGTTTCTTCTCCAGTTTAGTCCATTCTGCCCTTATGCAAAAGATTTTTCATTACAAACATCCTGTATATCTGAATGTGCTAAGAAATATTCTCTTAAAAATTTTTCATTTTATAATTTCCAATGGACTTGTAAAATTGAAAGAAGATTAAGATGTTTTTTTGAAAATCTATTCATTACATATAAATTTAAAATATGAAAAATTCTTAAAAACATTACGAAAATTTTTTTTACCAAAGGTTTGATAGATATTACAGGTCTGCAAAATTGGAGGTGTTGAAAGTTGATTGGGATTTAACAATGTTTTCTTACGTAATTTTTTGCGCTGAATCCGAATCCGGCTGCAGAATTGCTTTATCACATTAAGATTTCGAGATATCCTAACTTAAAACTGCCAAAAAGCCGTTCTCAACCATATTTTAAATTAAATTAAAAATTAAGAAAATTTTTGTTGTCAAATCTATCAACGGTATCATTTATTACTATACGGCCTCTTCAAAATCCATTTCGAACCATCTCAAAGCGATTTTTTCTTTCGGAAATATACTTATTCAAAGTTCAATAAATTGTACCTCATAGGAGCCTAATCTGTATACCGTTGTATTAGAAATTACAACAAACTGTATTTCTGGACAGATTATTTGATTCTTCTACCTTTTGTCACAGAATATTTTTAAATCTGCGAGAATTATTATACTTTCATTGTTCGTATCTTACTAGTATTTTATGTTGCTCTCTAGTGGTACGATATATATATATATATATATATAGTATATATGCATACAGGATAGGCCATTTTAATCAAGACACGCGAATATCTCGTTAGGTAAGCAAGATAGCGAAAAATGTTTCAGACCAAAGTTGTATGGCTTTGAGGGGAACATAAGGTGGTGTCATTAGTTTGACCTTGAATAGTTACTTGAAGGTCACGTAAAGGTCATCTTCAATTTCTTAAATGGAGACCCAATGGAAATATTTTTCATTGGATATTCTTGTAGCTTACCTCAAGAGCTTTCCAAAACACTATAATAAAATATTTTTTCATCAAGTACTTTTATATTATAGTTATGATGCTTGAAAGTTACAGTATCTCCGGCATTTAGCATTATCCAAGGTGTCTGACCGACAGCTAAAATCTCTTAAATATTGTTTAAGATCATAAACTAGATAACATTTGTTAAGATCAAGGCTATTGGAAGTTGTACATCTTATTTTCATTTTTATGTTAAAATTATTTTTTAGTGTAAAAATGAAAATAAGAATAACCTCCAATGGCCTTGATCTTAACAAATGTTATCTAGTTTATGATCTTAAACAATATTTAAGAGATTTTAGCTGTCGGTCAGACACCTTGGATAATGCTAAATGCCAGAGGTACTGTAACTTTCAAGCATCATAACTATAAAAGTACTTGATGAAAAAATCTTGATGAAAAAATCTAGTTCATGATTTTAAACAACAGAGAGAGAGAGAGAGAGAAAGAGAGAGAGAGAGAGAGAGAGAGAGAGAGAGAGAGAGAAAGAGAGAGAGACAGCAACATAAAATACTAGTAAAACATGAACAGTGAAAGTATAACATTCTCGCAGATTTAAAAATATTCTGTGACAAAAGATAGAAGAGTCAGCTAATCTATCTAGAAATATAATTTGTTCTAATACAACTTAGGTATACAAATTAGGCTCCTATGAGGTACAATTTATTGAACTTTGAATAAGTATATCTCCGAAAGAAAAAATCGCTTTGAGATGGTTCGAAATGGATTTTGAAGAGGCCGTATAATAATAGATGATACCGTTGATAGATTTGACAACAAAAATTTTCTTAATTTTTAATTTAATTTAAAATATGGTTGAAAACAGCATGGTTTTTGGCAGTTTTAAGTTAGGATATCTCGAAATCTTGATATAGAGCAATTCTGCAGCCAGATTTGGATTCAGCGCAAAAATTACGTAAGAAAACATTGTTAAATCCCAATCAACAAAACCATGCAGGCCTGTGTAATTAATTATTCAATAGAGACCTGTTCAATAGATAAATTCCAAACATCCTTCACAGAAGAATGCACCTTTTCTTGAGGTAATAAAACTAGCCGATTTTCACGTATAATACCACTCCTCAATTTAATTTCTCTGTAGATTTTCGATGACACATAAGCTCTGTAACGAATGCTTTGCATGAACAATTACCATTGTTATGGCAGTAACTGCAGTATAATAAAAAAAATGTGCATCACCTATGAACACCTATAACTGAAGTATAGTGTCTCGTACTTTTAGTGTCGTGATTCGTAAATATGAATTCATATCGACAATTTCGAAACGAAGTTAATATGTGAAGAGCTTGTACATATACACCATGAATCTAAAAAGTAAACTTTTGTTTATTATTTTTATCTCAACAATTAATGCTCATGTTAAAATAGTTCTTACCGTATGAAGAATTTTCGTATTCACTGTGATAAATGTATTATAACCTATGCCTATAAAATCATTGCATGATCACACTTTTTTTTTGTAGAAAAACATAACTGAGTAAACGAGAATATATTAAAATGGATTGTAATTTTATCTCTATCCGAATGCGTATTTTAAATTTAAAAAATTTTGTTTATTCAATTGAATGCAATTGGATTAAAAAAAACTACATTTCCTATTAGATTTTTTAAATAAGCAGTATTCACGATGCACTTAAAAAAAAGCTGATATTATTTTTAGATTGAAAGGCATAGAAATGTACTTCATGCAATTCGTGCAATTCCTATAAATGAATAAAAATGTATTGAGATTGAAAAGGATCAATTTCAACTTTGCGAATGCATACTTTTAAAATTCTGAATCCATTTCAATAAATTTAAATTTATTCTCATTTACTGAAAAGTTACTATACATGACAGATGATAACTTAAAAATTATAAAACAAACAAGTGAAGAAAGCCTTATTCGATCACAAAAAGGCCGATCTTGTAAGTGCCTAATAATATATTCTTTTTGCGTGAATTTTACAATTTGCAGTTTATGCAAACTGCGCGTCAATTATTTGTCAGTCTTGAAACAATTCTAATTTGAAACTGGAGTACGCAATACCACAAATTAAATTAAACTGATAGTTTAATAATAATACTGGATGCTCTCTGATGATGAGCATCTTAGAACACTTTAAAGTAATATGCACTTAAAAAAAAGCTGATATTATTTTTAGATTGAAAGGCATAGAAATGTACTTCATGCAATTCGTGCAATTCCTATAAATGAATAAAAATGTATTGAGATTGAAAAGGATCAATTTCAACTTTGCGAATGCATACTTTTAAAATTCTGAATCCATTTCAATAAATTTAAGTCAATAAATAATTGGCGCGTAGTTTGTAGGATCCAGTTAACGAGAATAAATTAAAATAAGTTGAAATTTTATCTACCCAAATGCATATTTTAAATAAAAAAAAACTTTTGGATTCAATCCCATTCAGTTGGATTCAACTAGATTTAACTGGATTGAAAAACTGAATTTCCTGTTCAGATTTTTGAATTGAGAGGTATTCACGATGCACTTAAAAAAAGCCGATATTATTTTTGGATTGAAAGGCACAGAAACGTATTCCTATAAATGAATAATAATGCATTGGGATTGAAAAGGATTCGTTTCAACATTCGCGAATGCATATTTCTGAAAATCTAAATTCATTTCAATCGATTTCAATCCATTCTTGTTTACTGGGGAACTGGAAATTGTAAAATTCACGCAAAAAAAAATAGAGACACCAAAAATCTACTTCGTTTAAATAAAACTTTCTTTGTTTATTTGTATTGTTCATATGTCATATATGTATATATCGATCGATATTCTCACTTATTGTTTAAAATTGTTTGTATGTATGTGCCCTAATCATTTCATACTCAAGTTAATTCGTGGCAAGGATAAAGAATGCCATATGATTCTCAAGTTGGTGACAATTAGTCTTCCTAGATCTCCAGCATTGCCTTTTGTATCTTCTATCATATCAAGTTTGTCGACGGTGAGTTCACCAGGTCGTAATTGCATATTACTACATGCAAAAAAGATTTAATATTTTCGCCGTATTATTTAATAATTTATTTTCACTCAGCACATTTAGCACTAAATGCAGCTATTTAATCACTTTATTTCGCGTATGTTCAAGTGTGCGGAGTACATTTGACGTAGTTACAAAACAAAACTCATAGCTGCATTAGTAAAAGCTAAAAGCTCAATAATAATTTAAAGATAATTAAATTTTATAATTACGAATGAGAAACATCAAATTTGACTTGGTTGTCTTGCCACATTTTGGGCGTCAGCTAAACAGGACAATGCTGTAGTATAGAAAGAACTTGACTTATCTCAGGCTGAAAATCAATACTGTTGTCATACCAACAAATACATAACAAAAATGACGTAGGTCTCATACTCTTTCGCATAACACAATGGAAATACTTCGCGACAGATATATTTCAATCGTTAATTAAACACATAAAAAGAAAGAGAGAAAATCAGTATATGGACAAAAATGATATATTCTTCTTCAAGTAACGTTATATAATTAGATAAAAAGTTGACATATAGCATTATTATTATTATATTATTCCTCCGGCCAAGGTTTGCCTATACCCTGTGATGCACCCATCCTGGACGGATCTTGACTTGGATAATGAATGGGGGTAGTTCCTGGAGGAAAAATTGGTGCAGCAGCAGCAGCAGCAGCCGCAGCAGCCGCAGCAGCAGTTGCTATTTGCGGTGGAAACATAAATTGAGGAACAACTGGTGGTGGTGGAATCATCATTGGCGGCATCATACCGGGAGTGGTTTGCAGATTGAAGAAGTTGCTACCTATGCTTTCCGGTGGTGGTGGTGGTGGTAATGCACCAGGTAATCCTGGGACAGGTTCAAGAATCTCTCTCGTTACTTCTGCTGCTGACACTGTCTGCCTTCCCTGTGAACGGCCCCATTTTATAGTTAGCCGCCTTCCACCCAATATCAGTTTATTAAAGGTCCTTTCTGCTGCCGCTTCGGCAGCGCTTCTCTGTGTATATTGGATGAAGGCACATTGCTGACGCGGCACCATAGTTACTGAGCGAATCTCGCCATATTGGTAGAAGTGATCGCGCAGCTGTTTCTCTGTTAATACGTCACCCAGATTACCAATGTATAATGTTGTGATAGATTTATCCTCTGGTGGATCTAGTTTAGGCATAGCTGCTGCCCTGCGCATCAGTTTATCTGCCACTGGATCGTTGACACCATAGTAACGATCTTTTATGTTCTGATCTGCCAATGGGTCATCAGGATCTGTTGGCTTCTCATGTCGATAAGGACATTCTTCGCCTCTCTTGCATTCACCCTTTACCCAAAACGAGCAAATGTGTGGCCTGTTTCTCTTATAATAAGGACTCGTCCTAGCCAGTTTCATCAGCAGATCACTAGCTGCAGCAGATTTGCCTACAGCACCGGCAGGTGTTGTCGGATCAATCTTTCCAATTTCATTGTCTATGTTTTGTACATAATATTCCTTATTTACATCCGAACGTGGTAAATCATCTTTAATTTTCAAAGCAGCATCGCGAACTTGAATAGGTAAACCATATTCCAAATCCAATAAACACGTTTGGCAGACATTCTTCAATCGACTGCATGTCTGACAAACTTCGGTTTTCTTAAATCTCATTCTTGCTCCTGGACACCACCTAAATACTGTAAATGGTCGCATACATATCTTGCATTCCTTTCCATATTTCTCCTTTGTCTGTAAATCAATTCAATTCACAATAATATTACTTAATTAACAATTTTGTTTATAATAAAATGTGTGTGTGCTCGTGTGAGTACAATATATTCATCTCATATATATATATATACATATACACACAGTGAGTGCAAAATGTATTCTTACATAGAAAATATTTTTTAAAAAAAACTTTATTTTTAAAAAGTAAATATTATCCAGCGAGAAATGAGTCATCAAATTGATGTCAAATCTATATTGATACGATAATTTCAACACCGATTTAACTTCGATTCGTCATTTAAGTGACGATCATTTCTTACTGGATAATTAATAATTTATTCATAAAAAATAAAATAGATTGTTTCTTAAAATTATATATACCAAACAGATGTGTATTAATTAGAGAAAATATATCATCTGAAAAATAAGTGAAAATTAAAAATTGTATTGTTTGGATGTTCAAAAAGTATTCATACAGTCGAGAAATTTAGCTTTCAAAATCAAGAATATGTGCAAAGCTTGTTTATGTTAGAATAGAATGTATTCATTGTATAAAATTACTAAATTAATGTTTATTTTTTACAAATAAGACTTTTTTTATAAAAAAATTTCCTTGTACATACTTTTTGCACTCACTGTACATCTCATGTATACATCTCAGTTTATAATTCAGATAATTTACTAGGTTTTATTTTGTAATAACAAAATTGAACAAATTTTGTAACAATTATCCAGATTTTTACTTACCATACGAATGTATGGATTGTCTCCTAAACACGTCTGACATAATATTGGGAATTCCTATATAAGAAAAACATGCCAATATATATATAAATGTGTGTGAAGGCAATATGAAATAAATAGCATCATTTTCACAAAATAAAAGTTTGAACTGAAAATGAAAAATCCTTTTTATGCTCACCGCATCTTCCCAATTTTGTCTATTATACGTATTGGTGGTCTTTGATGTTGCCATTGTGTATTAATTTACCTTAGAACAATAATTCCACCATTTGCAATCACTTGCAACACCTTTTTTTCAATGAGTTTTGGAATACGGCTTACTCACCGTAAAAAACAGTGAAGTAGAATACAACTGGAACGTGCACTGGCCTGCACTGGGCCGCCAGAACAGTGTTACCAACTCGAAATTTTAAAATTCGTCATATGCTCTTAAAGGCGAGTTCAAATCTTGACGGAAAAACAGAAAGCAGCAGCCAATCGGAACTCGCGCTGGTAGTCTACAATTTCGGCTTTTATCACTACTCAAGATACGTTCGGGGAGTTCGCTACTAGCGCTATCGAATGCTAACGCTATTCGGAGAGCTCTCTATCAACGCTACGAACACCATCCGTAGCCTAGTTTCAACCGAGGATTCGAACCGGGTCAGAATGCAAGAACCGACCAACTACAGTCGAGCATTCCCTCGAATGACAGGGGAATGTTCGACTGTAGTTGGTTGGTTCTTGCATTCTGACCCGGTTCGAACCCTCGGTGGAAACTAGGCCCGTGATGTCATTGGGTGCATTCAGTACGACCGTGCTCAGTGAGCTCTTGTATCTGTTTGATCTAAATTTTTAGTTCTAACGGAATATGCCAATAAGATACAAGCGCTCACTGAGCGATCAGTGAGCGGTCGTAGTACTGAATGCATCCATTGTCGGCAGCGTTTCCCGCCATAACTTGCGCTACCAATGCTCTTGCCTTTAGCAGGGTAGCGTTAGGGTGAAATCACACGGTGCGGAAAAAGACTGCGGAATAGAGAATGCGTCATTGAAGCAACCAATCAGCGCTATTCCGAATAGCGCTGAATAGCGTTGATTGGTTGCTTCAATGACGCATTCTCTATTCCGCAGTCGTTTTCCGCAACGTGTGATTTCACCCTTATTACTGGATTCACACTGCATCCAATTTAGAATCCAGTAATAAGGGTGAAATCACACGTTGCGGAAAACGACTGCGGAATAGAGAATGCGTCATTGAAGCAACCAATCAACGCTATTCAGCGCTATTCGGAATAGCGCTGATTGGTTGCTTCAATGACGACGAAAATTGGATGCAGTGTGAATCCAGCATATGGAGCAGTCCATGATGGTGCGGTCCCATGATGCGGAATTGGCGGAACGCTCGTGATTGGTTTAGAAAAAACATATCGGTGGAGCGTAATTGACGGAATGCTTGCGATTGAACGGACATCGTTCCGCCAATTCCGCATTGTGTACGTTCCGCATCGTGAGACCGCGCCATTGGATACAGTTACATGGAGTCAGAAATAGCGGAACGGAACAACGGAAAAGACAAATAGGGGTTAACCAATCAGAACAATTCCGTTACGTTTTTTCATTGCTGGGTTTCACATGATGAGAAATATATTTACGGAACGGAATTGAACGGACCGGAATAACCTCAATGACGATAGCATATCACATCAATCCGTCAGCATGATAAAGTATTTATTGTAGTATATATGCAAAATATTGGAGATATTTTAACAATTAATACATATATATACATGTATATTTGTTATTAGGAACTGTTATAGATATCAGACGTTGTCTTGAAAGCGTGCCCTTAGTGGTTCCTATTCCTAACTATGACTACGTTTAAGCTGGAAACACAATGGGCACAAGCAACAGGCACAGGCAACAGGGAATAACGAGCCGTCCAATCAGAGTTCTGGGATACAATATCGAACTTATACCCCAGAGCTCTGATTGGACGGCATGTTATTTCCTGTTGCCTGTGCCTATTGCCTGTGTCTATTGTGTTTCCAGCTTTATACGCGCTAGTAAAAACGGTTTTAATAAAAACCGTTTTAGTTAAAATCGGTGTTGGTGCCTGTTTACACGATCAGGCGTATTTTACCTCCACCAAAAATAAAGTAGCTTTATATAACCTGATACGAAACCTGAGACAAAATATCCTTTGTCATTTCTTAACCTTAACGTTTAAAGTTGGTAACATCGAATTTTGATACGTTAAACCGCTTGAAGACCGTTTACACGACTTTCGTAAAACGGTTTAGTAATGCCAAACCTGTTTCAGAAGAAGTTTGGATTTACTAGAGTCCTAGATTTATCAGAGAGGCGCAACCGGCTTAAGTCAGTATGACAAAGGTACTAGGGAGGGTACTAAACATGGTTGACATGCTATGAAACTGCCTTCAAACTGTCAAACAAGATGAGACAAAGTAATATAAAATTATATTTAAATGAATCGTATCAATTCTTTAGAGGGAATATTTATGTATTAATAAGTCAGTTGATTAATTGTCATTATAATCGCTTTTGCATATCACCATAACCTCTTAATTTGCACTGCTGTTAACGAAGTAAAACTTTACTCGATGGTAAAGATTCTCGATAAAATTATTCTTGAAATAAAAAAAAATGTTATTGCATTACTCAGATAAATAATTCTGTATGATACGTAGAAGAATTTCATATGGTTTAATCTATGGAGTATTCCAACTGTTTGAAATGAAGTAATTTTAAAGTCATTTGTGATCGCTTGTTTGTAAATTAAAACAGAAATGTTTAAAAATAAGATATTGTATAATTGCAAGTACGATTGCAGTATTATGTTCTTACATTTAAGAAACATTGAAAAAAATGATAATTGTGAAGCATATATATCTACTGTTAACGAACAAGTAATCAGGCTTTCTGTATAATATCAGTAATCACAATTTAGTTAGCATGGATACTGTTCAAGAGCAAGAATGAGATAGAGTGAGATAGAATGTATAGGATAAAATGAAATAGAAATATGTCACTAGTACTATAAATGGTTGCTAAGTCATATGCAAGAAGACTAGAACTAAGGAGGGTCAACTCGGTGCCAATAGCGGTAGTGGGGGTGAGGCAAAAAGTGGCGACGGATAACTTCCCCCACTCTTGCGCTTCATTAGTCCTCTCTGTCGCTCTATATAGTTGTCGCTCTATCGTTCTATAATCGTCACTTTGTCGCTCTTATATCGAACTTTCACACAATGCGCAGTGCCGCTGCACATCGTGTGAATAGCCGCGGACGTTTTTTGACTCACCCCCACCACACGAGTTGATCCTCCTTAGTTCTAGTCTTCTTGGTCATATGATTGCAACAGCGAATCAGAGTGAATAACATCGGTTGCGCCTCTCTGATAAATCTAGGATTTTAGGATTTATTAAAACGGTTTTAATAATATCTGTATTAAGAGACATTTACAGAACATCTAATACCGGTTTTAACTAAAACGGTTTTTATTAAAACGGTTTTACCAGTGCGTGTAAACGTAGTCTATAAGTAGACCGACTGTTTTTGTAATGAGGATTCTTTATTTCATAAACGAGACAAGTCACGCACAAGAAAGCGGAAGGCGAAAAACAAAAAGTGAAGCACGAAAAGCATGCGCATCGTAACCGGAATTTTCAGCGCCTCTCGATTCATCTGGTTACACGCTAAAGTCTTCTACCGTATCTCCATCTACCTTTATACGCCTGTAGATCGTGGGTGCCTTCCAACAAGCAACAGTGCGACACAGTGATCATGTCATCTTTGTTTAACATTGGCAAATAACAAGGATGTAATGATCCATTGTGTCACACCGTGTCATTTGTGTCGCTTGTTGGAAGGCACACGTCATAACTACATGCATTCCAACATTTCCTCACTTGAACTACGGGCGCATAAAGACCACTGACAAGATAGCAGACAAATTGAATATTTCTGATTTATTTATGTCTATATAATTTGGGAATCGTTTGGGGAAATTTGGGAAAAGCATTTAAACATTTGTAAAATAGTATTTTTCTTGTAGTTAACAAATTTTAACATGCGTCAAGTTAGCAGACAGCGATTTTATTTAATGTGTTTTATGAATGGAATCGATTAGAAATTATTTGGGGAAGACGTCTTCATTATTATTTTCATTTGGGAAAAGTCACTATTTGGTAATTCAATAGATTTATACATTACGAAAACGAACAAAGCCCGGGTGTAGTATGGGTGTAATAGGTGTAGTACAATGAATATAGTAAACTTAAAATCGTCAAAAATTAATCAATTAAGCCCGGATCTAATTATGCGTAGTAAGAAATCAACTTAATCATAAACTTAATTATATTCGACTAATTTTCTTTACTTTCAATTGTGATTGGTCAATTCCTTATGGCTTAAGGCTTTCTACATTTATTGTACCATCCGAGTGAAGTATGAGAACGCAGTCTAACATTGGAATATTCGGATTTTGGAGTAATAAACTTTGAACATAAAAATATACAATGAAGAAGAAAATTTGTCTAAAAACAAATTCAATTATTTATCGCAGATATTATACGATCTTAGAAATTACAGAAACATATTTGTAGATGCATGTGTGTATAATAATCATTATATGAATAAACGTACATATTTTATAAATTAACGCAAATTGCGTCTAGAAGAAATACTTAAATATTTGTTAGATGTATGTATGTACATAATATCTCTTGACATACATGTATGTACATAAAACCGTCTGTCTGTCTTTACTGAAAAATAACAAAAATAAAGAATAAATATTAAAATTTTTCTTCTTGAAGTGTATTTAACCATAAGGAATTGACCAATCACAGTAGTGAAAAAAATTAGTCGAATATAATGAAGTTTATGATTAAGTTGATTTCTTACTACACATAATTTCTTACTACGCATAATTAGATCCGGGCTTAATTAATTAATTTTTGACGATTTTAGGTTTACTATATTCATTGTACTACACCTACTACACCATACTACATCCGGGCTTCGTTCGTTTTTGTAATGTATAAATCTATTGAATTACCAAATAGTGACTTTTCCCAAATGAAAATAATAATGAAGACGTCTTCCCCAAATAATTTCTAATCGATTCCATTTATAAAACACATTAAATAAAATCGCTGTCTGCTAACTTGACGCATGTTAAAATTTGTTAACTACAAGAAAAATACTATTTTACAAATGTTTAAATGCTTTTCCCAAATTTCCCCAAACGATTCCCAAATTATATAGACATAAATAAATCAGAAATATTCAATTTGTCTGCTATCTTGTCAGTGATCGCATAAAGCA